ACTATAGATTACTAGTTCAAAATATGTTAAAAATAGTTAAATGTTATCTTTAATATTTTATGATAATTTTTAATTTTATAATTAAGTATTTAAAGGATAACATATCAATTTTTAATAGTTAAATGTGCTAAATAATTGTTAAAAAATATTCTTTTGTTCTCTAGAGTTTTTTCATTGAAAATACTATTTAATAGTTAAAAATTATTTGTAAATATGCGCATGCATATACATACATTGATTATGAAAGATAAATTTAAAAAATAAAACTTAATCCAATACTAAATGGAAGAAAATCTAACCGCTTAAAAACTAAACCAAACCGAGCAAAAGAAAAAAAATGGACTGGTCCCTAGCTATAGTGAACCAATTGGTTGAATTTGGTTTGGTGCTTCCTCAAAACCGAATTGAACCAAACCTGTGACCTAAATACCTAAGCCCTGAGAGAACAAAACTCATGTTATGCAGATTTTGAGCAAAGTTGTGAAAATTTGTGAAGATCATGAGAAATGATCCCATGAATTTAAAACTTTTATTTTGGAAGTTTGTAACTAACTGTGTGCAACGTGTGGGACGTTTGATATTGTTTGCAATAGTATGTCCTAGTTATTTGAAAATATACTAATGTATAACTTAATTTGATTTTGTTTTAATTAATGGAAAATGATAATAAAATCACCTTGAATTATATAAATGACAATCTGATCCCTTGAAATGCCATAATTCCACTAAGTCCCTAGGGACTTCTGTGTTAATAAATTTTAAATTAAAAAGATTATTTTATCCTTATTGACAAGTGATTTCTTGTTAAATCCTTGTGATTTTTTGAATAAAAGTTGTTATTCCTTAAATCAAAGTTATAATTGAGGCTTGTTATTTTAAGAACCTATTTTTCAATAATAGAAACTATACTTGATAAATTGTGATTTTTTGTTTAACTATTATGATTCACAAAATAAAAGTTGTTATTTCTAAAACAAAAGTTACAATTGGGACTTGTTATTTTGAGAATTTATTTTTTAATAACATAAATTATACTTGATAAGCTATAATTGTTGTTTTCAACTCTTAAGATTCACAGAATAAAAGTTGTTATTTCTTAAGCAAAAGTTGTAATTAGGGTTTGTTATTTTTAATGAAGGTAAAATGATATTTTTCACTTTAAAATTTATAGACACCGAATCACCTAAGGACTTTAAAGGAATTATGACATTTCAAGGGATCAAATTATCATTTTCATAATTTAGAAGATTTTATTATTATTTTTTCTTAATTAATTTGAGATTTATGATAATTATTCTTTTAACCTGATTTGTATAACTTCATCATTGTAGATTTGTTTTTAATGATAAGTATATCTCTAGTGTTTCTTTTTTGTGAGTACACGAGGGCCTCATGGCCCAATTTTTCATGACTTACTGGCATCGCTTCCATGTCGAAAAAATCCAAAACGTTTGTTTTTATTTTCCCAGCCAATGACTAGTCAAATACTAACAAACCAAGTTTAATTTGGTCAAACCATCATCCAGGCCACTTGCTTTCCAACAGGAGCAATAAATCCACTAACAAATTCTTGTTCTCCAGTATTCCCCTTTAACCCCCTCGCCAAAAATCAATAGTGACACACCTGGGAGATGTTAAAATATGCGAATCAATTATTCTCCATCCCTTTTTAAATTAACATTTTCTCCTTAATTTTCTAAAAAATTAGCAGAAAATGAGAGTGAAAAATATCTTTTTTACTCTAATTTTTTTCTGCTCTTAACAGTCTTCGAATTCCAAATCCTACGGATTTTTTTTTTTTACGATCCAAATTTTTGTTTCAATTTAATTATTTCAATATCCAGACTGGCCACTAAAAACAATTTTTTTATAGAATTAAATGAAATTTTTCATGATTGCAAGTACTAAACCAATTTATGCGATCATCACCTAGTACAACAAGTTTAGAAATTTTTTTTTATCCTAATTGAGGTTCTGGGCGGAGTTTGCTCATCTGTGACGTTTGCTTTGTAATAAGTTGGGAAAATCGCACTAAGAGTCCCAAAAAAAACATAATTTTACTTTGGGCTTGAAAAAGTTTGATATTGCACTACAGGCCTTAAGGTCCTTATTGCAATTTTTCTTGAGACCAAAAGTACATTTTTGCCCTTTGTTGAAGTCAGAAAACCTATGCAAAACCATGCAAAACATAACATCCACTATGCACATTACAATGCTCACTTATGCTCAACTAAAAGTCCATGCCTTTTTAATATTTCAATAGTTTATGCTCAACAAAATGGACAAGTTAGAAAGACCATGGACAACACAACATCCACTTTATATAAGATAATATCCACATATGCTCAACTCAAAGTCCATGCCTTTTCAATATTAAGAAAGACAATTATATCATATATGAATAATTTCATATTGGCATTAGCCTAGCTACTAAAACAAGTATATATTTACATAAAATTTGACATGATATTTCAAGTCTGATATACACAAAAAGTTAGCAACTATATCCAAAACATCTAACTGTTGCTTCTCTATATACAAACAAAAAAGAAATGTGATTCCCAATTACCTAAAAAATATTACTTGAGAATGCTTCCATGTACATAATTATAGTTTCCTATGTACATCAAAAAAGTATAATGCAACTACTTCTCATGTTGGATTAGGATTCTTTCATGTCTTACAACTGTGTCTGGCCTCCCTACACCTTGAACAATGATACATTGTTTTATCTTGAAATTGAGGGTTAAAGGCAATTGCAAGAAAGTTTGTGATAAGTTATCTCTCAATATTGCTATATTAGTAGGCTAGGCTTAACAAATTGCACAAGTAGGCAAACAATGTACAATACAATATTCATTATGTAAAATGCAAGATTCATATATTCTCTACTGAAAGTCCATGTGATACTATTTTATTAGTAGGCTATACTTAACAAAATGCTCAATTTAGGCAAACAATATATAACACAATATCCATTATGCATTATCTTAACTTCTAGAAGTTCATGTTATTTCATCACATTTTTCTTAGATTCTAATCCATTTTGGTTCAATTGTATATGTTTTTATTACCCAAATTAGGAAAATGTGCATTTTGTTTTGAGCTTGTGTTCTTGGCTTTAATTTGATATTTTTAGCCTAACTTCATGTTATTTTGATTGAATTTTTAATTAAAAGCATTTCTGGAGCTTTGTGGATATTTTTGAAAGGTTTTTGGATGAAGAAATCAAGAACAAAATGAATGATTTTTGTTAGCTGTAAAAACAGTGCAAAATTGCCAAAGTCATCCCAAAGTCGTGACTTTCGTTCACGACTTTCGTCGCTATCAGAAAAACACTGCATTTTATTTATCAGAAATTAGTTGGCTAGGATATATATAAGCTGAGAGCTCGACCCAGAACGCATTCTTCAGACTTTTAGACACACTTGAAGCTTGGTTGTGCTAGGGTTAGGGCATTGAAAGAGTTGGGTCCAAGAGATTGAAGCTTTGAAGACATTTGGAGCTATTTTTCTTTGGTTTTACTATTCTTCTTCCCTTTCCTATCTTGTAATATGAAATAGGTCCCCTTATTTTGTATATTTATAGCTTGTGGATGATTATGAGTGACTAAACCCTTTATTCTAGGATTATTTGGAACCCTTGTATGGATTAACACTATATTTCTCCTCTATTTTTATAATTAATGATATATATGTGTTTATTTTACCCTTTTCTTAATGTTTCTAAGTGATTGGCCACCATTTAGATGTTGGGTTCACTTAATTGATGTTTGAGAGGGCTAGGTTAAGTGTAGAACTTGGGTAAAATTGTGTAAGAACTTGATATTTGCATGTTGAATGGATGGTTTTGCTAGTAAGATAGAGATATACTTACTAGCCTTACATAGCCACATTAGGGTTGGTGTTTAAAATCGAGTTTTATTAATTGTAACAAGAGATTGAGCAATTAATTTAACTAAACACTTGTTCATGACTTGAGAGAGCTTGTCCAAGTATTTTTAAAACCCTAGATTAGCACTTATTTTCATTAAAAGCACTTATGAGAGGAGGTAATTTTGGTGTTATGAAATGCAAGGGGAATAAACAATCCTAGGTCCTAAATTGTGTTGGAAGTTTGTGAATCACTCACTTTTTTTTTATTTTCTAGTGTTAGTTTCATTTGCAAAATCATTTTCACCTAACTTTGTGTAGCTCAACTTGATCGAATTTACTTAGTCTTTTGCTTAATTATAGTTTTTAAACAAATCCTCGAGGGAACGATACTTTACTCATTTTATGTTACTTGCTACGACCTGTACACTTGCAGTGAGCAACAAGTTTTTGGCGCCGTTACCAGGGATTTGGTTTTGAAAGTATTTTGATCAACCTTAGACTAGTGATATTAGATTTTGCTTGAGCTTTATAGATGTTCTAGATTTTTATTTTATTTTTGTTTAGTGTTTTTGTTTTACTTTGATACTTCTTGGGTTGTTTTCTTCTTCAGGTATCCATTTGGAATATACAAGCCATAGGCCCAAAAGGATTGGAAGTGATACTTGAAGGATTGACAATCTTTGAAGAAGCTGAGTCTCCTAATTCTGAAAGAACTCTTAAAATTTAATCAGGAAATATGGCAAAAGACCAGTATAACACTGCCTCAATCAATGACTTTACTAACCAGAATCTGAGGGGTACTCAATCTTGTATTCAAATGCTAGAGTTTCAAGCACATACTTTAGAGATCAAGCCTGCCATGATCGCAATGCTTCAAATAAATAGTGTGTTTCATAGTCTATTCAATGAAGATGCTAACAAGCACTTGATGTCTTTTGTGGAAGCATGTGATTCTTTCAGACAAAACGAGGTGCCTAAAGATGTCTTACACTTGCAATTATTTCCAATTTCTCTACAAGACAAGGTAAAGAATGGTTCAACAATCTTCCCAAAGGTTCTATTGGTTCATGGGAGGATCTTGAGAACAAGTTTAGAGCTCAATTCTTCTCTAATGATAAAACAGTGGAAGTAAGAGATGAATTTCTTAGCTTTAAGCAATATACAGATGAGCATCTCTATGTAGCTTGGAGAGATATAAGATGTTAATAAAGAAATGCCCTAATCATAGTGTGGACAAATGGGTAGTGATTTAAATTTTCTGTAATCATCTAAATCCATCTTCTAAGCCTATGATTGATTCTATCACAAATGGAGGATATCAGAATATGCCTGTCAATGAAGTTTTTTGCCTCTTAGATCAATTATCTGCGAACAACACTCAAAACATGAATAGAAGGAATACATCAATAGTGACTAATGCTAAAGATAATTCTTCTTCCTAGATTGTATTCATCTTGAATGCAATGAACAAGGGTTTTAATGTGTTGGAATCTCAAATGCAAAAGGGAAATTCTCATAATGTGCATGCTGTCCAAGCCATTCCAACTGTGTGCAATTAATGCAATGATATTCATATGCCCGATCAATGTCCTCTTTATATGACCACTGAGTCTGTTAACTAAATGGGCAAGTTCTAAAACCCTTATAACAACCTTTTTTCTCAAACATACAACTCAAGATGGAGGAATCATCCTAATTTTTCATGGAGTCAAGGGAATTCTTCAAATCAACCTTTATCCTCTAATGTCAAGCCAATTCACCCTTCGAGTTTTCAAGCTCCACCAAAGCCAATGCCGGTTAAGGAAGAGGAGTCTAGAATGAAAAAGATGTTAGCATAAATCTTGAGTAATCAAGAGTCTACAAGAGTTGAAACTTAGGCAACTCTTACTCTTCATGATACCGTAATTAAGAATCTTGAAGTGCAAATGGGGCAATTAGCTTCACAAATGAAGGCCATGTCAAGAAACAATCTCCCTAGTAACACCATTCCAAATCCTAAAAAGGATGGTAAGGAGGAGTGTAAAGCAATCACTTTGAGAAGTTGGATGCAATTACCCAAAGTTCTTTTGCCAAGTGCAAGTGATGTGAGTAGTAGTGCTATTAAGGTGGTTCTTGATGATAAAGTGATTAATGAAAACATTGTGGTTGAAGAGTGTGACAACTCAAAGAATAATCAAGAAGAGAAAAAGAATGAAGATAAAGCCAAAAAGGTTAGTGATGAGAAAAAGCAATAAGAGGCCAAGCCAAAATATGTGCCTCCACTACCTTTTCCTTAAAGGCTTAGGAAGCAACAAGAAGATGGCCAATTTAAAAATTTTCTTGATATGTGATAGGAAATTAGTCGCTTATCCTCAAAATTACACTAAAGCTAACCCTAATGCAATATAGGGCCAACCCTAGGTCATCTCCCAAGGAATGGTTTTAAGTCTAATTGAAAGTTATCTAGTGAAATAAATCAACCAAAGTTTGTGGGAATTTAGTTATCTAGCTAATTATCTAAACTAATTACCTAATATGCAAGTAATTAAAATGCTAGTGAAAGTGAGTGAAATGAACTTCCCTTTTCACAATAATGGAACCCTAGAGATTAGTTGATTTTGGACTCATTATCTTCTCATGATTAGGCTAAGTTTAGCTTCCCTTTCCTCTTGACTAAAGCTGTCATGACTTAAGAAAATTATCCTAAGCCAATTAACCTAATTAGCTAACCTCCCTAGGTCTTAGATTAAAGTCCCTAGTTCAATTAACCAATTGGTGAAGACATTAGCCAAGTGATTCACTCAAAATCCCCTCTCAACAGCCATGGTCAAACACATAAATTGAGCAACCACAAGATTATGTCAAGCTACTCAACAACACAAGCATTAACACCACAAGATTATGCAATATTAACACAAGAAATTCACTAATTGAAAAACACAAGATTATGTGCCAAACAAAGAGTGGCAAAATTCAGTCATGGCTGTCCAAGGAAGAAATTAAATGAAACAATCCTCTCTCTTTACATCAACATCAAATTCAAATTAGAATTTATAAGCTAAGATGATTAGACCCTAGATTAAGGAATCTAACCATCTAGTAAAAAGAGAAGAGGATAGGAAACAAAAGAACTTAGCCAATTTGAAGCTCAAGACTCATCCTCCATCTTCATCTCTCTAGGATTCCATAAAAGAAACTTAGCCAATCTTCATCTTCAAGAACCCTAGTGATTGCTTGTGAAGGCCAAACTCCATAGCTCTTGAATGATGGAAATGAGCTTCAATCCTTGTGAAAATGGAAGGGATGGAACGAAAATGAAGAGAGGAGAAGAATGGTATGAGTTTTGTGGAGGTTTGGTGGCTGAAAATGGAGGTTAGGGTGCTGGAAAATGAAGAACAAAAGAGAGAAAATGAAGAACACTATGAACAAGAGAGAGAGAATGTGGAAGATGAATTAGATATGTGTTGGATCCCATTTGAGGCTTAAAATGGCGTGCTCCTTGGTGTCTCCCATCAGCTGAAGCTTAATTAAAATAAGGAAAAAGAAATTAAAATGTAAATGGGAGCCTTGTCACACTTGCAAGGTGGCAACTTCCTATTGGTTTGTAGATGATTCCAATGTGTGCCTAATTTCCCATGTGTCATCCACATCATTTTAGCTGATCTAATCCCTCAAAATAATCATAATTCACGTGCAAACCATCAGCCATTGTCCTCAAGGAGTGTTGACCTCAATTGCCCAATTGATGCACAAGTCACATGCCACCTATGTCACATAAATCACATAATTCAATTAAATAGCATATGATATAATAAAATCTAATTCATGTCCAGAATTAAATTCATAATTAGAAGGGAGAATTTATTAAATTAACCAATTTTTAGGCTGCACAAAATTATATAAAAATTTTCACACAAAGGCAAACCAAAAACTAGGACAAACTAAGACACTTAAGAAAGTGTTGACTTTTTTATTTAATTACTCCCAAACTAAAATGAATTTTAAAAATATAATTTCACTATTCATCAACTGGACATAAAATGCACTTTGTCAATTTTTCTTGTACATTTTCTCAAAAGTTCATTTTTTGGACCAAAATGCCCCTAGTGCACTGATATTAGAAACTTAGGCAAAGTTCCAAATCTAATGCAATGTGTGCACTTGAAGGTGATAAATCATTAATAAAATGGTCCTAATTGACAAATAAAAGTGGGTAACAAATGTGTTCTATCAATATGTTCAAGCAATTGCATATTAACATTCCTTTTGTGGAAGCTTTGGAGAAAATGCCCAACTATACTAAGTTCATGAAAGATGTGCTCTCTAAAAAGAAAAGGTTCAATGAGTTTGAGATGGTTGCTCTAACTAAGAGTTGTACGAATATCATTAAGCAACTACCTCAAAAGATGAAGGATCCTAATAGCTTCTCAATTCTGTGTCATATTGGAAATAAATTTTTGGGTAAGGCATTATGTGATTTTAGTGCCAGTATCAATATTATGCCTCTCTCTACTTTCAATAAATTAGAGTTGGGTGAAGCTAGACTAATAACCATGACTTTGCAATTAGCAGATAGAAGCTTAGCCTATCCACATGGTGTTATTGAAGATGTTCTTGTAAAAGTGGATAAATTCATTTTTCTAGTTGATTTCATTGTCCTTGATTGTGAGGTGGATCGTGATATTCCTATTATCTTAGGAAGACCATTCTTGGCAACTGCTAGAACCTTGATTGATGTTGAAAAAAGTGAGCTTACTATGAGGGTGGATGATGAGCAAGTCACTTTTAACATCACAAGTTGGTGAAATCTCCCAAAGATCTTGAGCAATGCTTCTTTATTGATATGCTTAATCAAGTTGCACAAGAAGAATTCAATGAGGCAATTCCTAATGATTTTTTAGAAGCCTTGTTGATAGGAGCTCAATTAAAGACTCAAGATGGAGAGGAGTGTCTGGCTATCATGAATGCATCACCATTTTATTCTAGAAACCATGTCTAATTTGAATCTCTAGATTTATCTTCTCTTAGTAGACCATCTTTGAAATTCTCTATTGAAGAGCCACCATCTCTTGACTTGAAGACATTACCTTCTCATCTTCGATATGTCTATTTGGAAGCCAACAACACCTTGCTAGTGATTATTACTGTGGACTTGAATGCACAACAAGAAGAGCAACTTGTGGAAGTCTTGAAAGCTTACAAAAGAGCTATTGGGTGGACTATTGTCGACATAAAGGGTATTAGCCCTTAAACATGCATAAGATTTTCCTTGAAGACAATCATAAAACTTCCATGGAACATCAAAGAAGGATGAATCCTATTATGAAGGAAGTTATGAAAAAGGAGATCTTAAAATGGCTTGAGGCGGGCATTGTCTATCCTATCTCTAACAACTCTTGGGTGAGCCCAGTTCAATGCGTTCCAAAAAAGAGAGGCATGACTATAGTGGCTAACACCTATAATGAGCTAATTCCTACCCGCACTGTTACTAGGTGGAGAGTATGTATGGATTACCAAAAGCTAAATACAGCTACTAGGAAAGATCACTTTCCTCTTCCCTTTATCAACCAAATGCGTGACAAATTAACTGGAAGGGAATTCTTTAGTTTCCTTGATGGGTATTCGGGCTATAACCAAATTGCCATAACTCCACAGGATCAAGAAAAAACAACATTCACTTGTCCTTCTAGAACTTTTTCTTTCAAGTGCATGCCTTTTGGGTTATGCAATGCACCGACCACTTTTCAGAGGTGTATGATGGCAATTTTCTCTAATATGATTGAGAAAACTATGGAAGTCTTCATGGATGACTTCATAGTTTTTAGGGATTCATATGAGGAGTGCTTGATCAACTTGGCCAATATGTTGAAAAGATGTGAAGAGACTAACTTAGTCTTGAATTGAGAAAAATGCCACTTCATGGTTAAGGAAGGCACAGTTTTTAGCCATATAGTCTCCAAAAATGGCTTGGAGGCAGATAGAGCCAAAATTTCAATGATTGAGCAACTTCTTCTACCTACTAATGTTAAAGGTGTGAGAAGTTTTCTTGGCCATGCGGGATTTTATCACCGCTTCATTAAAGACTTCTCCAAAATAGTCAAGCCTCTTTGCACTCTTCTTGAGAAAGATGTTGAATTTAAATTTAATGATTCATGCTTGAAAGCATTTGAAGAGTTGAAGAAAAGACTTGTGTCTACGCCTGTCATGATGCCTCCTGATTGGAGTTTTCCTTTTATTGTGATGTGTAATACT